TCTGCTTTGAATAGCCTTTCCTACTTTGTCTACTGAACATCTATCTTTTAAGGTCCTAGTAGAATGTTGTCTTCATGGTGACTTTTCCTTACTAGGTCCTAAGAATAATTAACGGTTCCTTAACGCTTTTCTTACAACTTGCTAATACCGGCTGAGCACAGTGGCTCATGACTGTAATCCCAGCACTTTGGGAGGCTGAGGCCAATGGATCACCTGAGGTCAGCAGTTCAAGACCAGCCTGGCCAATATAGTGAAACCCCATCTCTACTAAAAACACAAAAATTTGCTGGGTGTGGTAGCATGTGCCTATAATCCCAGCTACTTAGGAGGCTGACGAAGGAGAATCGCTTGAACCCATGAGGCGGAGTTTGCAGTGAGCCAAGACTGCACCATTGCACTCCAACCTGGGTGACAAGTGCAAAACTCAAAATAATAATAATAATAAATAAAAACAACTTGCTAATACCATGACCACCATATTGTATGGCAGTAATATGTTTATCTGTCTGTCTCCCTCACTAGATTATGAGTATGTGAAGGGCAGTTCATCATGTTTAGTCATTTGTTTCTCCAGAGCCTTGTAGAGCTTCACCCACAGTGGGTACTCAATCATGATGAACTTTTTACGTAAGTTCTTCAACTGAAGTCATTTTTTAGAAGAAAAGATACGGTTAGCCTTTAGAATTATTCGCATGCTTAATTAAACAGCATACTTTTTTATTTTTTACCATAGTTACCCAAAGCCCCTGCTTTTACCATGTTAGTATGAAACGGGTATGCTGTTCTATATAGTTTGTTTTCGGATTGATTTTTCCCCCTTTAATTCCTTTTTGCACATGGATCATTTTGTTTTTTTAATTTAATATTCATCCATCTAAAAAAGATATCATGACACAACCGGGCACAGTGACTCATGCCTGTAATTCCAGGACTTTGGGAGGCCGAGGCAGGTGGATCATTTGAGGTCAGGAGTTCAAGACAAGCCTGGCCAACATGGTGAAACCCCATCTCTAGCAAAAAGACAAAAATTAGCCAGGTGTGGGGGCATGTGCCTGTAATCCCAGCTACTTGGAAGGCTGAGGCAGGATAATTGATTGAACCTGAGAGGTGGAGGTTGCAGTGAGCCAAGACTATTCCATTGCACTCCAGTCTGGGCAACAAGAGCAAGACTCCATCTCAATAAATAAATAAATAAATTGAATATTCATCTATTTTTAAAAAGATATCATAACATGGCTGGGCATGGTGGCTTACACCTGTAATCCCAGTACTTTGGGAGGCCCAGGTGGGAGGATCACCTGAGGTCAGGTGTTCAAGACCAGCATGGCCAATGTGGTGAAACCCTATCTCACTGAAAGTATAAAAATTAGCCAGGTGTGGTGGTGCATGTCTGTAATCCCAGCTACTCAGGAGGCTGAGGCAGGAGAATCACTTGAACCCAGGAGACGGAGGTTGCAGTGAGCAGAGATCATTCAATTGCACTCCAGCCTGGGCGACAAGAACAAGACTCCATCTCAAAAAATAAATTAATAAGGCCAGGCATGGTGGCTCACGCCTGTAATCCCAGCATTTTGGGAAGCCGAGGTGGGTGGATCACCTGAGGTCCGGAGTCTGAGACCAGCCTGACCAACATGCAGAAACCCTGTCTCTACTAAAAATACAAAAAAATTAGCTGGGTGTGGTGGTGCATGCCTGTAATCCCAGCTACTCAGGAGGCTGAGGCAGGAGAATGGCTAGAACCCGGGAGGAGGAGGTTG